AGTAGCTCATAAATATATAATTCTTTCATTATAAAAAAAATATAAATACTAAAATGAATCTACCAAATACCTCATCTTTAACAACAACAACAACAACAGCAGCAGCATCACCACAAATATCATCAGCACCACTACCAACAACAACAAAAACTAATCAACAATGCCCGTAACAACAACAAAAACAAACAAACAAAACAACACAACAGCAACAAACAGATACATTTACCATACAACAAGAAGAGAACAACACAAAAACAATAATAATATCATATAGTATATGTGAGGCAGCGTGGTGGAATCAGGCTCTCGCCAAAGATTAGTTATTTCCTTGGAAGAGTCCGTGGTAAGTGAAAATTTACATTTTTTTGTGCCTTTAATCAACGTTTTTCAGAAAAATCCACACAGAAATGAGTTTTTTAATGGGCATGAAAGGTGTTGAGCCAAAAAACAAAAATTGGATAAAAATTCACAAACCTGCGGAAAAATGCAAGTTTCTTCACTTTGAATATTTTGACGAGAGCCTGATTCCCCCATGCTGCCTCACATATAATATATACATATCACAGAGATGAAAGGCCACAAAGACATAATGAGGCATCGTGGTCAAATCAGGCGCTCGTCAAAATAATGAAATCGAAGATATCGGCATTTTACCTCCAGTTTGACCATATTTTCTTTTTCTTCTTTTCTTTTTTTTGCTCAACACCTAATAAAAGCATAGGTCCATGTGAATTTTACTGAAAAACGTTGCTTAATGACACAAAATATGAGAATTTTCAGTTTTCAAGGATTCAAGCTATTGAAATTACCAAACTTTGGCGGACACTTTCACGATAATTTTATCTCTGAAACCAGGCTACCCTCATCTCTTTCAATTGCGAATATCCCGACTTCTGCTCAAGATACATGGGTATTTCTTTTTCAAAGAACACAAGGTCAATGAATACGCTATAAGATATTACCAGAAACTCCACATGAGCAAACATTGACGAGCGCCTCATTCCACCTTGTCGTGACACATAAACATAACCCAGACAGACGAGAACAAGACTTCAACAACATATTTTTTTTAGAAAAGAGTTTTACGGCGCTCGCAACTGCATAAGGTCATATGAGTGCCAAGGGGTGGGTGTCAACAGAGAAGTCTTTACAGGGAATCAGACTTACTCTGCTCGCTTCTCTAGCTTCAACAGCACAAGGTCTGCTTTGACTATTAAGGCACCCCGGAAACAGCAAGTCACAAGAGAGTGACAAACATACAGAAGAAGTTAAGGAAAATGACAATAGTAAGGATCAGGAAAGAAAAGGCAGCAGTTCCCTGTTGTAGATCAGGCACAGTTATGAGCGTGGCATGAGTCAGCCCATTTACAATTCTACTATGCTTGAACGAGAAATGTCCCCCCTTTGGGAATGGCCTAAAGACACTACAGTCAGTGGCACCGCCCAGGGGGGTGAGAACATCACAAAGACATATATACAACACAGAGAGGTGAGAACAAAGACATATATACAACACAGAGAAATGAGAACAAAGACATATATACAACACAGAGAAATGAGAACAAAGACATATATACAACACAGAGAGAACAACACAAAGACATATATACAACACAGAGAAATGAGAAGACCGTCTGAACTCACTCCACGAACGACTCCACCAGGTTCTTGCTGACCAGAGTGTCGTAGTCGTAGTTGTAGGTCAAGGTGGTGTTCACCTCCTTCACTTTGTCGATGGCTGGGGGGAGAGACAAAGGGGAATAACGAGTGGTTGTTTTAGACAAGCGGTTGTTTTAGACAAGTGGCTGTTTTGGACTAGTGGGTGTTTTAGACAAGTGAGTGTTTTGGACAAGTGGGTGTTTTAGACAAGTGGTTGTTTTAGATAAGTGGACGTTTTAGACAAGTGGACGTTTTAGACAAGTGGACGTCTTAGACAAGCAGACGTTTTGGAACGTGTCATTGCAATATGAAACAACACAAGGGGGGGG